CATCTCTCCTGACTTTCTGTTGCCAAAAGTTGATCTTGGCTGTCCAGCCTTTCACAGCCATATCTGGAGCTCACCCCATCTCCTACCTAAAGTAAGTATCTAGACTAGATCAAAGGACCCATGCCTGTGGAAATACTTCTTTTCCTTCCTCTAAGGTGAGCCTGAGTGGCTCATCTGGATGTGTCTGCACTGAACCCACGTGGGGCTGCCTTGTGAGTGGATATTGCCAGGAGCACAGCAAATGTCACGTCCCCTACAGACAAACTTCTGTGTATTCCACTTTAAAACACATTTCTTGTGGGTGTCTCATCTTGGGAGCTGTGTTTGAGAGCCTGCTCTCCTGACAGACAATGGGCTTGCAGGGCCTTTCCAACAGACTTCACTTTTCCACCTGGTTGCAGACTGACAAGAATAAATAGGGAACCCATTGCTAATGTTCATACCATTTTTTCCTGCTATCTTTGCAATATTGTAATAGTTAAAAGCAGTCCAAATGCAGGTTGCAGTATGTGTAAATTTGACATTGTCAGATGATGCAAAATCTGCTTAATTGGAATGATATTCTGGTAAATGAATCTAAATTTTTTAAACATTAAAAAAAATTAAAATAATTAAGGCATTAAGAAGTAGGCAAAGATAAATGCTCTTCACCTGAGTAAAAGTATGCAAATGAGAATTCATTTATCTGAAGAATAGGTTTGATGGATTTCCCACATTCTGAACTCTTTTAAGAGAAAGTGAGTTTCAACATCTACATTGTTCCCTTGCATTAAAACTAAATTAATTAAACAAGAAGTCAGCATTTAAATAGTAATGCAGGAACACTACATTAAAATGATCATAGAAAATAACACTTTGTTCTCTTGCAAATATTCTTACGAAATGATAGAAATGAGCTGTGTTTTCATCTGCTCACTGAGGGCAAATGTGGAGAGCATATAGTTGTGCTGGTGAAACAGAAAAATTGAAACTTTAAATTAAGACCTATATATATATAATATATAATATATAATATATAATATATAATATATAAAATATAT